CGGTCTTCCATATTTCCTTCAAAAATCAGCTGTAACAAAAGAAAGCGAGAGTGCACTAAATTTTCTTCAGTAGGTGAAAGTTGAAATGAACTCGAAAGTGTAATTGTATTCCAGAGCTAATTTAGCTGAGTAGTTGTCACTCCCGTAGTGAAAAACAGGATAGAGTAATAAAGCTGTGCAAGTGTACGAACATTACTCGGACAGGAAGTCTCTTTATCCTTCGTTTCAAAAATTCCAAGTAAAAATTGAAGGCAAATTGTGACCAGCCGGAGCAAAAGTTCTAGCCACAAGCTTTTTGTTTGTTCGTTTGTTTGCTATGACAAAAAATTACTTACGGCTAAGTTACACCTAGTAAAATTATTAGATGCCCATTTTCTTCTTCATGCGAATTCATTTTGTCATTCAAGAAGATCAGATGAACAAATATGGCCATAAATATTCAATTTTATTCACAGTTTATGGTTACCATTAATCATTTTGTGGTTATTTCGATAACATTAAAATAACCTTACTTGGTGTTCTGTGACCCCAGTCACTGACACTTGTCCATACTGCCAAGAGTCGTCCCCTGATGAGTCTCCTTGCCAAATTGTACTTTCCTTTGAGATGTTCCCTGTTATTTGGTAAAGCCGTAAGTTGTTTTTTCCTGCTCCAAGAATCATGTACCGAAATTTCAGGCATCTACCATTACCATTCGCTGATCTGTTATACCATGGGCTCCATACACGTGTATGTTCTGTTGTAATGTTTCTTGAGAGAGGAAACGCCGCAAGGCGATCACCTGTGATGAAACATGCTGGGCCTTATTCACAGTCAAACTAAGTGAAGCGTACCCCTCAGGATTACATTAATGATTTCATTATTTGAATATTGAACTCGCTAATCGTTTCAGGAGCGCAATAACGAATTGAATATTTGAACATGGAACCCGCTAACCGTTTCAAGAATGCAATAATGGATTGATTATTTGAATATTGAACTGACTGGATTATGCAAACATGTGATGATGGATCGGAACTATTTCAACTTGGCGTCAGACATAGCGGGAAAGGTGAGTTCGAGTGTTGTGTAGAACTTCTTGTAAATGTTGTAAGTGGAATGTTATCGAGAGCTTTTTTCACCCATTTACATCTTGACGAACTTGTAGAAATTCTTGTGTGTATTCATGGTCGAAAAAAATAGTTCACGGGCTAAGTCATTGCAAGACTTTTTTTATTTCGTTAATATTTGCGATCGACTGTTTTCGCAGTGTTTTTATAGTGCAGTTTGTTCATTTTCAGGATTCCTCATCAAATAGAACAATCTTATTGGACTTCAGAAATGGACTTCTAATTTGAACAATGATCCGCGCCTTTTCAAAACGGATACGGCTATCGGGTTCAATATTCAAATAATTAATCCATTATTACATTCGTGAAATGGCTAGCTGGTTCAATAATCAAATAATCAATTCATTATTGCATTCTTGAAACGACTGGTGGGTTCAATATCCAAATGATCAATTCATTAATGTAATCACCTTGAGGGGTACGCTTCACTTAGTTTGACTGTAAACGAACTTTACCCTTTGTTCAGTAAAAGCGCCTCTCAGTGATCTTTTACTTGCCCAGTTTTTAGATAGTGAGAAAAAAATCCTTTTAGATAACTCTGGAAAAGTATTTGTTTCCTTAAAACAAACCGCTTATTCTAAACCTCCGGATCAAAATGATGCCCAACATTGGGGTCAAACCTAGACTTTGCTCAGAATAAGCAGTCATTACAGCCGTAATTTTTAAGCGAGTGTATGTAGGTATGTATTTATGTATTTATGAGGGTCTAGATGGGGCTGACTGACAACTGACAAATGGCCAAAATTTTAACTGAGAACTGACAAATCGCTGAAAATCTAAATGACAACTGACATTTGTGGTGAGTTTTGACTGACAGCTGACAAAAGACCGGATCGCCCAAAATACCCTTAAATCTGGCTGTGAAAGTCCATTTCTTCGGAAACTCGAAGCTTCTCCAAGTTCGCTCTCCTTTAGAAAAGCTAACTTCAATCTATGCTGCTAATGAAACATTCTGTTATGCCCAGAAAGGAATTATACAAGTGACATTACATTACAATGGAGTTAGCATTGCTGGTACCGCGTTCACTGACTCGGGAGATCGAAAGGTAAAGTTCTTCTGTCCTTCTGAGAAAAATGTTAAAACCTTGATAGGCTATTTTCAGAAAGGAGCAAGTGATGGAACGGATGAAAAGTGTTCTTTTACGCAAGTTCGTGGCATCTATTCAAAGGAGAAGGCTCTATTCGTATCAAATCCTTTGAAGTCTCTATAACAGTTTGGTATCAGAGCCCAAAGAATGGACGAAGCACACGTCTCTTCAAGACTCTGTAGACAAAGTATGGTATGTAAACGACGACATCACAAAGACCGTTTCAGAGGTGAAACAACGGCACAGTATAAAGGAAACCACAGTGACCAAAGACCCTGAAGGTAATATGTCTGATGAAACTCAAGTCTCAATTAAACATCTCAAAGAAGGAATGCGCCGCATGCACAACAGCATAGCTTCAATCAATGACGATTATCTCGAAGGCATTGGATTGTGTACACCACTCACAACAGTTGTTGAGAATCTATTCGCAATTTCCCATTTTAAGCATGAAACCTTCACCGCATTTTAGTATCCCCAAGACTTTGGAATAATTACCAAGGAGTCG